CTCTCAACAAGTTGGGGGAACTTTACTATTGAACCACATATTTTTGAATTGCTTCTTCAAAACATGACCAAACTAAGGCAAGTTTCGCTCCAAGATTGCTACATTTCTTCCATGTTGCCCCGCAATCTATCTACTTTTCTCCAACTCCTGAATCTTAGGGGAACGGAATTGTTTGGCAAAATTCCAGTAGAAATTTTTCAATTACCAAATTTGCAAATGCTCCAACTCTCCAACAATCTTCTCAAAGTAGGCAATTCGTTAAGGGTCAAAAACAATGTCACGAGCACTACTAGATTGAGGTACCTTGACGTGTCTGACAATGATGTCTCTGGAGAATACCTGCCTGAATTATTTGGGAGTTTGAAACATTTGTACTATTTAGATCTCTCTGAATGCAACTTTTCTGGCCCTATTCCATTGTCTTTCGGAAATCTCACACAAATGAGATACCTCCACCTCTATGCGAACAATCTGACGGGGCAGTTGCCACCAAGTCTCGAGAGTCTTGAAAAAATCATTTCTCTAGACCTTTCTGCTAATAATCTTGATGACCAACTGCCAAACGTTTTCAACAATTTCAAAAGCATGTCCTTTTTAGGTCTTACAGGAAATTTTTTTAATAGTTGCATCCCGTCCTCAATCATTAACCTTACAAAACTTGAGACCTTAGACTTGTCATATAATTCTCTCATAGGTCCTCTGCCCGCAAAACCTATTAGTGGATTCCCGAACCTAGTTGAACTTAATTTGGCAGAAAACTCAATTAGTGGTTCAATTCCATCTTGGGTGTTCAGCCTACCCTCTTTGGCTAGTTTAGACATGAGTTCAAATCAACTAACGGGCCAACTGCGCGGATTCCGGTATCAAACACTGCAATTTATGAATTTTCCAAACAACAAATTAAATGGTCCTGTTCCTAGATCAATATCAAAACTAGTAAATCTCAGAGAGCTTGATTTATCGTACAACAATTTTAGTGGACATGTGGAGGTCAGTTTGTTCTCAAGCTTGCCACTACTCGATTCTCTTTCTCTTTCTTTCAACAACCTATCTCTCATCAATAATCGAGGGAACTCTACCTTGCCTTCTTCTATAACATTTTTATATTTGTCCTCTTGTGGGTTAAGAGATCTAGAATTTTTAACAGGATTAAAATGTCTGGTGAACTTGGATCTTTCATACAATGACATTCAAGGCCAAATATTTTCCCAGCAACGGACATCAACGTACACGTGGTTTGAGGGGCTGGTTTATTTAAATCTATCTCACAATTCTCTTACTGATATCCACAAACTTCCTTCTCAATCCCTTTCAACTGTTGATATAAGCACAAATTTCTTGACAGGTTCATTACCAATACCATCTGTTTATATAACAAACTACTTTGCTTCGAATAATGCATTCAGTGGGGGAATACCTTCACATGTATGCAAATTTTCATCACTTAAAGCGCTTGATTTGTCCAATAATAGCTTGAGTGGTGAAATTCCAAAATGTTTGGGGAACTTACCCCTTTTAATCTTAGATTTGAGTGCTAATAATTTCCAAGGGACAATACCATCAACTTTTTCACATGGATGCGAACTGATAAGTCTTAATTTACGTGACAATCAGTTAGAGGGTGAATTTCCACAATCCTTGTCCAATTGTTTAGGTCTAGAGTTGCTAAATATTGGAAACAATAACTTTCATGGTACATTTCCTTGGAGGTTAGGAGCTCTTCAAAGTTTACAGGTTCTGAGTTTGAGAGCCAATAACTTTTATGGTTCATTAAGCCATTCAGAATGGGGGTTATCATTTCCCCTATTGAGAATCTTAGATCTTTCTGAGAATAACTTTACAGGTACCCTGCCAGCAAGATTTTTCATTCAACTCACTAGCATGAAGATTGTAAATCACATCAAGAAACGGTTGTTCAATGAATTAGGTATTTACTACATAAGTTCTGTCTTGGTTACAACAAAAGGAATAGAGATTGATGTTATGCATGTTCTTTCCACCTACACAACCATAGATCTCTCCAGCAACAAATTTGACGGAGTCATTCCAAATTCTATCGGCAATCTTGTTTCTCTCCGGGGACTAAATCTTTCCCATAATAAGTTTAGAGGTCCAATTCCTCAATCATTTGCAAAGTTGAATATTCTGGAATCATTGGACCTATCCTCAAACGAACTTGTTGGAGAAATTCCACAACAGATGGTGTCGTTGACAAATCTTGAAGTTCTAAACCTTTCTAAAAATCATCTTGCTGGTAGCATTCCACAAGGCTCTCAATTTGATACGTTTGAAAATACCTCATACTTGAGAAATGACGACCTCTGTGGATTTCCATTGTCAAAAACTTGTGGTGCTCAGAATATTTTTCTGCCGGTAAGAGGCGAAATTTCAACCCAATATGATGAGAAAGAACACAAGCATTTTATCAATGGATTTTCTTGGCAAGCTGTGTTGATTGGTTATGGAACTGGGATAATCATTGGAATGAGCATTGGATGCCTCATTTTTATCATGGGAAAACCGAAGTGGTTTAACAAACTTGTAGAAAATGAATGTTCTAGATTTCGTAAAAAGAAATGGCCCAAGGAAATCAAATGGTTGTAAATATAATGTAATAGTTTCTAATAATTTTTAATATATTCATTTCGATGAACCTTTGCATTCATAAATAAAGGGTTTGATTTTGACATTTTGATTTATGAGTATCACGAATATTTCCAATTAGCACATATTCCCTCCATCCCAAAAAAAAGGTCTAATTAGAAAGGCTAATATATAAAAATTAGATGACTTAATCTTGTTAATTCAAAACTTAATACGAAAAATTGAATGAAGTTTCATGACTATTTATCAATGTAATAATTTAAGTTATAATGATCTCATAACTCTAACTTTAACATTTACATTTCTAAATTAGACTATTTTTGTGGGACGGATGTAGTATAAAATTTTGAAGTTCGAGACAAATTAAATAATTGATTCATGAGTTTATTATAGCGACTAGATTATTATCCTAATTGTTATGAGTTACTATAAAAAATGTTATTAACAATTAAAATATGCATCTTTAGTTTTTGGCAATTGATAAATACAAAGCTACTTTTATATAAAAAGACAAAAAAAAAATTCATTTACTGATTCTATCTTTATATAAAATTTTAACACATCTACTATAATTTTCCTTTATTTTCTCCTTTCTTTTATGGATCATCTAAAAGTCAACCTTCTATTCCAAATTTAAAAAACACTTGCGTAACTTCTTTTTCTTCTCCAAATTAAAAAAAAAAAAAAAAATTGTGTAACTTTTTTCCTTCTCCAATTTTTTTTTCTTTTCTCATTTCCGATGATTTTGAATTAAAACTTCCAACACCGAATAAAAAACTATTAAAACAGGATATTTGAGAATTTTCGTGGTGAACCGAAAAAACATAAAATATCACCTGTCAATTTTTATTTGCTTGGAACCAAATTTTGTATTTTATATTGATGATTTTTTTTTGTTCTTCACGGAGATTATCAAATATCATCTTTCAGTAGTTTTTTTTTATTTTGTGTTGTAAGTTTTTATTCAAAATCATAGGAAATGAGAAGAGAGAAAAAAAGTACACAAATTTTTTTTTAATGTGGAGAAAGAAAAAAGTTACAAAAGTTTTTTTGACTTGGAGAAGAAAAGAAGTTAGGCAAGTTTTTTTAAAAAAAGAAAAAAAATTTGGGATATGAGATTAGCGTTTACCTGATCCATAAAATAAGAGAAAAAATTTAAAAAATTAATTATTGTAAATGTGTAAAATTTTATATAAGGGTATTATTGGTAATAAAAATGATTTTGCTCTTTATTTAACAAAGTAGTTCTGTATTTATCAATTGCCTTAGTTTTTCTCATATTCCATTACATTGATTCAAAAATAGAATAGTAACTTCTCAATAAAGTTTATCTCGCTAATCTAAAAGCACCATTATATTGCTAATATATTTTTTCTATCTTAAAATAATACTCTTTCGCTCTTCAAAAAAATATTCTATACTGAGTTTTAAAAATTGTGATATATTTTAGGAACAGAGATAGTAGTAATTTTTGTGTACAAAATAAACAATCATTTTGCAAGGAAATGAGTATAATCAAGTTAATGTCATTTGCCTTACGACCACCCGCATTAGAACAAAATGCCATCTGCTCTTTTTTTTTTTTTCTTTTTTTTTTGTTTAATAAGCAGCGCCTTCGTGTAGTTTTTTTTTTTTTTTTTTTGAAAAGGTCGTCTTCGTGTAGCGATTCTCCTATTAGTCATATCATTCTTCCTTTCATTTTGTTCAATAATTAGTAATACAATTCATGTTACACTTCACTAGTCTGGATTACATGTAAAGCCAATAATACGCATTCTTTTCTTGTGCAAAGTGACGTTATGACTAATTATGATTCTCACCAAAACAAAAACAGAATAATGTTACACAAACGAAAACTGCTGTCATAGATTGGCTTTACCACGATACTGTAGGGGTTAGTTATCCCCGCCGAATTGCTGTATGATCTTTGAAGCGTTATAAGATCTTCATTTCGTGATTAAAAAAAAATAAAATAAAATAAAAACTGCTGTCATAGATAATGTACACTAACTAAACTGCAGTCACGCCATGCACTTACTGTAACCAAACACCGCCATACACGGTGCAACGAGGCACAAATTACAGGAACCATGCATGTAACCTGAGGAAATTTGTTAGACATTACGGTTCATCATCTCCATGATAGTAGTGGCGGAAAACACATGAGAAATCCTTTGTTTTATAGCCATTGTTGCACAGCTCCACGAATCTGTGGAGAGGAAACTTCAGGTCAGACCTCATCTTAATAGATTGGCATCATACATTAAATAGCCTATTCTAGAGACGTTAATGATCTGTGTCTCAGGTTCTTCAGTTTCTTTTTCATTCTAAAAAAGAAATGAAGGGGATCAACAGTCTGAGCAATGAACAATATCAATTTATTTGAGAACAGAGATCTAAGAAGAAAACTTGGCCACTTTCGATTTCTTTTCCATAGTCTCATCATCAAAATTTACAAGCAATAATGAGTCTTTCAAACCATTGCCCAACATTCCATTCAACGTTACAACCAGATGGAAACTGATGAAGGGATGAAGACTAAGGCTAATTTGATCCCAGGCACAGTCACACATGTCCAGAGAATATACTCTCTTTTCCATAGTCTCATCATCAAAATTTACAAGCAATAACGAGTCTTTCAAACCATTGCCCAACATTCCATTCAACGTTACAACCAGATGGAAACTGATGAAGGGATGAAGACTAAGGCTAATTTGATCCCAGGCACAGTCACACATGTCCAGAGAATATACTCTCTTAAGTCGGATGTAAAAAAGATGCCTGCCTAAAGTTTAAATATAATGGTATAGCAACTTGCATTGAGCATCAGGTAATACAACACATCTGATTGAAGAGGTGGTTCTAATGCGATCAAATAATTTGTATGTGATTCACATCTAATAATGTGTAAAATCAAGTTGATGCTGATAAGATGCTCATGTAAAATTTCAAACAAGCAAATGCTGATCAAAAACGAAAATGTGAATATGATTAATTAAATTAAGTTAATATGCAGTATATTCACTCACAGTATCCATTATATGAACCACTTTCAGTTCAAACATGAAAAGTTGGTTGTCAGACTTATGTTACTCTAAAAACCACCTTAAACTGACATACAATAGAGAAAGATGGCTCACATCTTTTCTGCATGAGATGTAAGTGGACATTCAAGACCAACTTCCTTGGCTGACGATACTGCCAGGTGCAGGTCTTTAGCCTGAACCCAAGAAAGAACAGATCTTAGGACGAATAAACAGATCGAAACACCAAAAAAGAAATGTAGAGGACAGTAATAGATGACATTGGATGCATAAATAATCTTGCATGTGCACTTTGAGGTTGTTGGAATGGGGTGGCATCTTCAGGGCATGATTTACCCAGGTTTACATTATATTTTGGATTCAGAGTATTGCAGCAAATAAAAGAAAAACAAAAAAAAGCACAAAGCAAACCTAGAAAATACAGAGGAAGAGGGAAAAAGACGGTATCTTGGATCTGATCACACAAAAGTTTAGGAATTGTTGATTTTCTCAAGACTGAGAGCATTTATCAGCTGATAGTTAACAAATTGACGAGATAAACATAAGAGCAACTTTAGCTGTTAAAAGTGTTTGGCATGTCCTCTTAATCCTTCATCACTTCTCTTTTGCAAATGCAATTTCCTAACATTGAAGCAAAAGGCTCAATATCCCTCACCAGGAGAAACACCAAAAGACACACACAAGCAAAAGGAAGGTGTGTATTTTAGCCATAAATTAAAGCCAGCATTTTCAGCTTAGAATCCAAGGTTTATATGGAATCCACCGTAATGACAACTTTGTATAAGTGGAACTATGCTTCTTACTCTGTTCTTTTTCACTTCAGCCACACAATAATAATATGCTCAAGTTGCAGCCATGGGAATAATGATCTAATCTTAAACACAAGGAACTACAAGAAAAACAGTTTTGTGCTAGGTAAATTCCACCCATCTCTGCCTATTAGACATTAGAACAACAAAACAAAACCACGTGAGGAATTCATCCATGAATGGATACCAAAACTTATAGGTGCATCCTCCCTTCTCAATTTCACATTTTTGGAAAAGGAGGCAGTGTGCCCTTTGGGATCTCTATGCATCTGTGTCAACAAGAACTATAGAAATGAACACCTAAGCTTTTTTAATGATCATTAATCCTTTACATTCTTTAATTCTTGTTATGACAAAAGGGAACACGACCTTACCAGTCACCAATGTAAGACGACCAACTAGGCATACCAACTAACCTACAGTTTATCAGTGCATTTTTACCTGGGGTTGTCAGTGGCAGATCATCAAAAAAGGGGGAAAGAGCCCTGATTCAGTCCCACAAACACTATTCCTACCTATGACCTTGGAACTTTTAGCAGTATACTATACGGAGAAATGAATAATGTGCCAGAGAGCCAACAAGTGCACAGTGAAAACTCAGTGCCATGAAGTTTCCAAAGAAATTATGATATGCATGGCGAAGGAGAAAAGTCAATTCAATGTAATCCTCAAATACATAGAGAAATGCAAAACACCCAATTGACAGGTGAAACATTTAGGAATCATAATCCATACCATCAACTTGGAAGCAAATCCACCATCGTAATTCCTTGATGCCGGTACTGCATCCATTACTCCAGGCACTGGGTTGTAAGTGTCACTGTCAGATTATACAAATATCCATAAGCAACAACAGAATGACTCTTACTCAAGCTATGTGAATGTATGGTTTTAAAAAAGGAACATTTTTTTTAGACCAATATCAGATGCCATAGACAAGAAACCAGATGTATTACATAAACAGACTCCATGTGTGAAGATAACAGGGAGAAAGATAAAGAAAGTTAGTTTATTGCTTAACCATTCCAAGCTACTCTTGAAGTAGAAAAGATTATGTAACTGGAGGAAAAAATGAGCAGCGGCAATTTCTTTCTTCTTTTTCTGCTATGGTTAATCATAGCACCATGCCAACTGTAACTTGACAAGTTTAAATTAAAGAGCTACATTGCACTTAACAAAGGTATAGGAGGAGTCTTATCCAGAACCAGTGCATTTAACTCAATATCTTCAGATTTCACAATCTAAGTACCTTGAAAACATTACCAGGTAATGAATCCAAAAACTTTGCATAAATAACTGATATCTTTATTACTTGTGCTATCATGGAATGCGTTGGCGGAGAATCAAACCCTACGACTCCAAGCAAATATGGAAAGCAATAATAGCAAGTATGAAGCCAAAGAAAAGATTAAAACAAACACAATACCTACTCCAACAGCGAGCGCTCGAGGAATTGAAGACCTTGGTCAAGGTACTGGAAGCAATGCCCAATTTCTGACCAAGAGCTAGGGCCTCTGATACACCAAGCATGCTCACAGCCATTGCCAAGTTGTTACAGATTTTTGCAGCCTTGATATAAACACAAGTACAGTACAATTTTAGTTAAAATTCCCTTATTGTAAGAATGATTTCAATCTTAAAGAATCATATATTCACAGTATGTTCAAAGGCTAACTTGTCCCTACATTATAAAGTTGCCTAGTACTGTTCAAAATTTTCCAAGAAGCATAGGAGTGGTTATTAAGATCTGTATTAAGTTCTACAGATTTCTACTCTTTGTAAACCATCTAATTTAACAGAAAGACAAAGCTAAGAAGATCTTTTATGAATCAGCAGTAAGTTTCTTCTTAATTAAATGATTTGCAATTACAGCAAAGATAACCCCCATAAAATTGTCCCTGGTTCTTTCTTAATGTTCAAGTAACATTGACTAGGCAATCAGCATAGCTTTTCTTGCACACTTTTGCGAATGTCTAAACAGTTCGAGCATATTAAAAGAAGACAAGATAAGGTTAGAAAGGGACAGTCAGAAAGGGCATCATATGGTTAAACCAAGATAACAATGTGAACATATCATAATTGTCAATGTAAGTCCATTAGCCAATCCTCCAGCGAGCGGGCTCAGTTCTTGTTACTGTCAATTCCTATTTCAATGCTACGTTAAAGCAACGTTATAGAATGTGTTGCAGAATGAAGAAACCACAATAGAATGTTATCAAGATAGTCAACCTTGAGTATCTGTAACTATTACAAAACAAAAAATAAAATAAAATAAAATTGACAATAACTATTCCTGTCATTGAACAATGAACATTGATCAGATCTACTATATGTTGCACAGTAGCATTAAACCCAAGAATGTTATATAGATCATGGCATACACGTATTTTAAATTGTTGCGGAAAATGTATGGTACTGTTACTTTTTCATAAGCATATAAAGCTGAAGAGTGCTCAAACAGAATTCACATATCTTCCAGTAAACAACTCTCAACCAAGTGTAAACAGAATTTACTATTTTTATTTTATCAAATGCCACACAAATCAAACCACAGTAACTAAGAAGAAGTACACGAAACATACTGAACCATTTCCTGCTCCACCACAGTAAATTGTGTTTTTACCCATTGATAGAAGTAAGGGTTTTGCAGCTACATAAGCTTCCTCTGAACCACCAACCTGAAGAACAATGAAAACCCCGTCGATTAGCATAAAATCATGGAACAGCACCTTTAAAGACAAAATGACAGATTTGGAGTGCTCAGAGTTAAAAAGACTAGGACTAGTTTCTTAATCAAGAAGGGGAAACTGGTACCTAAACAAAAAGGGCAAATGGTAACCTATACACATAATTCAAATCAGACTTATCAGCCTTCAACGATTCAAATCAAAATTTCCCCACTTTTTGGACAAATGAGAGCCTGCTTTCTCATTCACAGTGCAACAATCACATTTTGACATGAACTCATTTATTTAACAAACTTTATAACCTCAGCAACCTAAAATTTTAATAGAAGGCTGTCAAATGCAACTTAGTATTGTAAAGTAAACCTCTCATCAGGATTTCAGACAGAAACAATTTATCAAGCAATTGATATGAGATGCAATGAGAAAGCTTCAGGCCTCCTTCACATGTTTAGTTGACATGGCCGATATTCAGAAAGTCATAGGTACTGACTTCCAGAGTACTTAATGAAAGGGCCCTCAAAGCTCCGAAATTGTGCATGAACATGAATGCTTATATTGTATTATAATCCTAATAGAATAGTAATCATTGAAGTTCCCTTTGACTACCGATCATAGGCTCCTTTGACTTCGCCGCAAGCATTTGCATTTGCTTAAAACTATATCAGAATCTTAAATGTCTAGAAGATGTTTGAAAGCTCCATAAAGGTTTGAATGTTCCAAGATGAAAGAAGAATACCATAAATGTAAGTGTTCCACTTTCCGCCGCAAGAACACCTCCTGATACAGGAGCATCCAACATAGCCGGGACTTCCCAGCTATCTGTAATTGATATTGTGATCCTTAGTTTCCAAGTGGATATTGTTTGGAATAACTTCCCTTTAACAACAAGCTACATTGTCTATATATCACTAGATAGGGTTGTCATATGCAACATATGCGACTTGTAACAAACTATCACAACATTCTTCAAGTAGCAGTGACTACGAAAAATTGTTAATATCAGAAAAAACCTCAATCCTACCAATGAAAGCCGAGATCCTCATTTATAATGAAGTTATATTCAAGATATTTTATGTGTTGAAATGTTATGCCTAAGAAGGCTTGTTCTTGTTGTATTTCTGTACTGGAAGTAAAAGAATTTTCTGCAGCAGTTGAAAGAGTCATGATAAAAAAATAAAAAATAAAAAAAGGTCATGAGAATACACTTAAAACCATCCAAAGAAGATATCGCTGAAGTATGTAGCATCACATCTATATTGTTATATTGGTTGCAAATTATAAATGCACAAGATCAATTATCAAAACACGGTTCAATAACCAGGTATATGGATAAGCGCATAGAATGAACCTCATTATCTGATTTACAAGTTTGCCATTCCTCTGGCACATCAACTTATATCAAAACGGTAAGAAGGGAAACTTTTCAAAAACATATCAAAGATTAGTCCCATGAGAACTCATTATTTCATCCTTCACATATCATAACCTTTATTAACTCTTACCTGATAACATGTGAAAAAAAATTATTATGAGAACTCGTTATGACACCTTAAAACATCATAATCCTTATGAAAGTTAACAGTCTACTAATTTTTGAAATCGGGATCCATTCCAGCACAAGGAGAAATCTCGGGCATGTAGAAGAATGACTTTGGTGGTATTATCAGATAACAGCATTGCATACACCAAACAAATTATCAGCACATGGAAATCTCAGCAAAAGAGATTTATCATCATAATCCTTATGACAGATAACAATCTACTAATTTTTGAAATTGGGAACCATCCCAGCACAAGGAGAAATCTCGGACATGTAGAAGAATGACTTTGGTGGCATTATCAGATAACAGCATTGAATACATTAAAACAAATTTATCATTGCACATTTCTTCAGCCTGTAGGTAATGACATTGAAACTGCCAAAGTTTTGAAGTGTACCGCTCTTTTCTTTCAGTGAACAATCACTTAATGTAGCAGAAACTCTTCTTGATGTCTGAGGGTCAATTGTCGAAGAATCTATAAATAAAAATGGTCTGACTGGACTGTCATTCTGAAGCATGCCATTTGGTCCAGTGTAAACATCGAGTACCTAAGTCATGCAATAATCGGCACTTTTACAAGAGACATTGTGAACAAAAAGCAACTTTGAAGAGCTGAGTTATTGATCAAATAAAGAAGTGATATTAAACATTTGCGAGTAAACAGAATGCTACTTGAGAAGTTATTGCTTCAAAGTTTGTTAACATGGGGGACTACTGGGATCATCTCTAGTCTCACAAACAAAAACAAGATCTTGGACAAGTAAACAGATGGATCATTAAACTTGTCAGAACCATAATATCTCTCACTGAGCCAAGTGACCCAAAGAAAACCCATTCCCTTCATGTACAATCAATTTCTCCAAAAAACATGCTCTTTCTATTTAGTTTGCTTTATTGATATTAGAAAAAAGTGACTCTTAAATTCATTCCAAAAGATGACACAGTTGATAAGTTCCAGATCATTTAGGCATGAACATGGTACGGAATTACTCGAGCATTATCTATACACATGACAAGTAAAACTGATTCTCAAGAAGTAGTCTCATCCCTGTATCTTAGAAGCTATAATGCATTCCAGTCATCTAACACTGACAACCTCACCAGAAGTGTCCCCAACCAAACTTAGAGAGTTACAGCAACGAACTCACATGAAGTACGAATAATCTAATTTACAAGATATTCAGATTTGACTTTTGTTTACATCAAGTAAAGAATCAAACTTTAGCCTCTAACTCACATGGGTTGAAGAAGGCAACATTGTTATCACGAGATCACTTGTTTCTGCAACTTCAAAAGGTGTATCTTTTGTTACAATCCCCTTCTCTGAGAAAATTTTCATGGCATTTTGGTCTCTGGATATGAAATTAAGAGCAAAACTTTTGAAGGATATCAAACAAGCTAGTGTAACCAATCATTTAGAAAGGGGTAAACATGACACAAGAAGCAAGTTTCTATTGCATCTATTGTCCACAAATGTTGGAAACAGAAATCATTATAAGAACACATGATTCTAAATTATGCTAGCTTCTCATTAAGATAACCACCATTCCAGTTCACGCTCACAGATGAAAGTAGAACACTCAATTCTGTGAAGATGAATTTCGACAAGCAGGCGCTGAATTATCTAAACCAATGCTCATGCAGTCTAAGTGTTCTGGAAATTAAGCTGAGAAGAGCAAAGTGAATTACAGGTCATGAACAGTAACATTGAAGCCGTCCTTGATCAAATTCTGAGCCATTCTGGATCCCATATTTCCTAACCCAATAAATCCTACCTTCTGCAGCAAATCAAAGATCCACAAGCAATAATAGAAGTCAACATCACCATCAAATATCCGAAAAGATATTTCCAAGGAAAATGAATCATTATTTTCAAATACAACACAAGTATCAAGAGCACCAAGTGTTAAAGATGAATTCTGGAGGTCAGGTTAATAGGAAACACGTCAAAAAGCCAACAGAAAAAGTAAGGTTTCTATCTAACTGATAAGAAGGGAGTGGAATTATTCCTGAAGAACCCAAACCACTTCAGGCGGAAGGACCCATCAAATAACAAACACTTACTCTGGAAAGTAAAAACTATCTGTCTATAAAGAAATCAAGTTCACAGCATAAAATTGAGATTGCACCCATAAAAGGAATAATCAAATTTCCATGTATCATATATAAGTCTCAGAGTTGTCAACTTCAACTTGGAGAAAATTCAACTTCAACTTGGAATAATCAAATTGAGATTGCACCCATAAAACAGAAGAAAATTTTGGTCAATAAGATACCCCAAAAAGTTATCAACTTCAACTTGGAGCATTTTCAATAAAGAAAGAACTAAATTCTCAACTTAATTCAAGAATCCTCACCAAAAGGAATTCACATGAACTAAGCCATTAGAATGCAGAAATGATATTTTCACGCTTCAAATTCCAAATAAATCAACATGAACACAATTCGAGTAGTTGAAGTAAAGTGATTGAGGAGCAGACCATACTTCAAATTGAGACGGGATTTTGCTGGATGAACAAAATGAACGAGCCCACGGCAAGTGATTAACTGATGAAGTAAATTTGAGAAGCTGTTGCGTTAATCTCATTCTTCTGATCGCCATTGCTAAGCTTCGTGTGTTCGTTGTGAATTTGGTCGAATTTTTTCTGAATTTCAATTTGATCAAAGTCTTTGGCAATTCAATTTTTTTTTTTTTTTGGGGGGTTAAAGGGCAATTCAATTTTTAAACTATGATGCAAACAAAGAAAGAAAAATGAATCGCATATCTTTAAATAAAACAGTATTAATTTTAGTCATTTAAATATAAAACTATACACTTTGCTTGTACGAAATAATTAAATGCACAAATTATTTTTGTGATTCATTCCCAATTTTATGGAATTTTTTTTTTCTTTTTTGCTTGGTTCAAAATAGGGAGTTGAACGGACCTACAAAATTGGCATTGAGTCCCATTAAATATCATGTCACAAGATTTTGATGAGTATGACTCATTATGATTCATTTTCTTCTAATCCATTCCAATTCATTCCATTCTAATTTATTCCGCTAGTGAACCAAGCTTTATTCATTGATTGGTGAACCAATATGTAAACAAAATTATGATGAATCCTCTTTTAGTATAAAAAGGCATTATGATGACATGGTGGAGGTTAAATAATTACTAAAAAGGGTAATACTACTCACATAATTTGTATTAAGGACATAACAATTTAACCATACAAACATGACTTTAACTATAAAAAATTCTTATGTAAATTCAAATACTTCATAAGTTTATTTAATTTATTTTTTCTGTAAGCTTGGTTAATAAAATAATAGTAAAGTGGTTATTGACAAAATAAAAATAGAAAACACTTAAAGATACGAAACTTCTGATGTTATCTCTATACTTATCAAAGCCCCATTTCAATTATATTTTAATATTTTGATAGGTCGAGAAGCTCCGATGACATCAACTTTTTTTAATAAATATTATAATCATCATTAAGTAAATACTAAATTTTGTTATTTAAAATACCAAAGTTTGTCGATTAAAAGAAATTAAAATTGGAACAACAAAACGACGTCGTTTTGACACCCTCATCTACACACGGATATATATATATATATATATATATATATATATTTCCAAATCAATTTGACGCCAGTTCCTCTCTCCTCTGCTTTGCCCAATTTCCCCTCCTATGCAAGTGTCTTCAGTTTTGGTACCGCACGAGGTGATGTGAAAATCCAAGGAGGCCCAATTAATGTTCATGCTCAATATCCATTATCCAATGTGGGAGACCCAATAACTCGTTCACGAGCAAAGAAGGTGCAGACTACAGTTAATAATCTCATAATAATTATTTGGGCCAAAGAAAGTGACCGACTTGAAGATTACAAACTCAAGATTACTAATGTGCTATTAATAAATGGAGTTGGCCAATTGGAGAGGAATATTTCGGCCCACACTACAACATAGGGCCGTCCAATCTTATATCCTAATTTTTATGAGTTGGAATATCTAACTTTTAGGGATAAAATCATTTAAATCTTATCACATTTGTGGAAAGATAAGATTTGGAAGATTTCTCATCTTTTAGAGATATGATCATTTAAATTTCATCATGATCATGGAATGATAAGATTTAATTATTCTCTTTTATCTATTTTTGAGTTTGTTTACAATAAGAAATCTATTCCTTGGTATTTACTCACAACCGTTGGATGAAGGTTAAATCAAGTTTGGATGGCTATTATTACACTACAAAGAAGATATTGATTGAGTTGACAACTCAGGAAGATTCTTTTGAGAGAATATTTCTTTGTCTTCGGAGTTTTATTTTCATTAGACTAATGTGTCTTGATTCTATAAAGGTGTCTAGATACATTGCCTCAATAGATAAGACACAAGTTGTCAAATTAGAATTTTATTTGATTTCTAGTTCTTTAAAGTAAGAATAAAGTTAGAGATCAAACTCTTATCATACTTCTTATGAGGATTTTCGACCCCTCTACTATAACTAGGGGCACTTGGCCAACTTTTGGAGGTTGGCTTTTTTGATGAATTTGTTCAATACGAACTTGAGAGGAAAACTCCTTGTTTCTTTGACCTTTTGAGGTTATTTGGGTTTTTGCAAGATCTAGTATTTTGCATGAGGTACCGAACATGCATTCAAGAGTAGTGTTCTTGTTTGTGGAGTTCTTTAGATGTCATTGTAAGGGAGCACATCTATCCATCATTGTCATAATCTTTAGGCGCAGGTTGTTAGACTCGGCTTGGGGTAGCCTCTACATCACTTTTCTTCTTTTCTATCTTTCCATCCCTTTTTTGTTAGAGTTTTTGTGGCTCTACCTTCTTTGTGTTTTTCGTGCATTTTGCTGTGGTTGGAGCAAGAATCATGTCCTTGGGCAAGCTTCCGCATAATTTCAAGTAAGATCTATATTAACTTGCCGCTTGCACATTAGAATTTGTTTTGCCTATAATTTTCACTTTTGGCCGAATAAATTCACATCAAGAGGCCAAATTGGCCTCTGGATGATACTCTGGATGTGGTGGTGGAGGATTTTGGAGAGGCAGAGGGGGATGACCGTGGTGGTGGTTTTTCGGTGGTGCGGTGGGAGGTTTAGGTTGCTGCTGATGGGTTTGTTAGCGGTGGAATTGGAGGTTTTGAAGATAAAGGATTTCGCGAAGTCTGTGAAATTGGTCACACAATTAGTGACCCATGATGGAATTTTTGGTAGAAACTTTAGCAGTTGGAGGTGGTGGAATTGGTGGCGGTGGTGGTCGACGACGAAGGTGATAGATTTAGACGCATTATTGTTGAATCAAAGGACATATACTGCATGAAGGGTCTTTTATCAGTTGAAGGGATGAACGAGAGATTTGACTTCCAAATGAGAAAATTATCTTCAATTATATTTCGGTTCTTGGATCATATGTTGGACTCTTTATTGTTCAATTAATGTTGCATATTATACAATATTGATGGTATCATCTTCGGTTCCTCCATGGGTTGTTTATGGCTATCGTAAGCGTAATATTATGAATTTTGTGATATTTGGGTTGGATTTGATGAAATTTTTATTAGTTTGTCTTTTGAAATGAATTTCAATTCCCAGCTACCCTAGTTATTGAAGCTTTTGCGAAATAATTGATGAAAAATCGATTAACAAATTTGATATAGATGAAGTAGTTGCTTAAGTTTCTAGGATGACGGAGGCAATTGACATTGTACAAGGGATAGCTGTGGTCACAGGGGGGTAGGAAAAATTCTGCTACTTTTGTTCGCAGATGGCATTTAAGTTGGAAGTTGAATAAGTAATCTTGTTCTATTTTTTTCTCCCTACAATTTATTTGTGATTTTTTATTATTTCCTTTTTTGTGCTCTTTTTGTATTCAAAATCCTCAAATCAATGTGCCATTGAAGAAAGGAGCGGAGCGTCAAAGATGGCTCAAAACAAGAAAGTGACGACATTTCTCACTAGAATTGCCGAAAACACGACAAGTGCTAGATTTAGGAGGTAGCCATTTATATTCAACCATTTTCTCAAAGCACTCATCATTTAGTGACTTCAGGTTAAGAACTGATGGTAGTTCATGTTGTAGGATTCTAGGAATATCAACATGTAGCGGAAGAATCTACGAGAAGCCTAGCCACAATATCCATACGAATAGTTTATAGTAATAGTAAGTATACCTTACAGCGTAACAACAACTAGCAGTCCTCTATCGGAAATCCACTCGACCAACTGAGTTGATTTCGAGCTATTCTCTCAATCGGCGTGGTAGCGACAATGTCAAGATAAGATGGCTGGGTGTTCACTAGGTTTTAGGCATAGGGGGTTAGAGTTGTCCATCACTACATATTTATAGATGAATACGAAGTAAAACCCTAATCATAACCTTAATGGTCATATTACCGCCATGACCCACATTAATTTAATTGTGAATTAAGATTCAATCCTTATTAAATTAGTAACCAGACTTACCCCCAAATCCAATTGATCTTTAGATTGTGACCCAATAGGTTCTTATAATAGTGGCAATAACTATAATGTGACTCGAGGCCAATCCAACAATCTCCCCCTTGCACTGAGATAAAACATAAATTGATAATTACAAATAGTGAGTGGTATATAGCAACACATCAGTGCTACCCAAGTTATAAGAATGTTGTGATTTCACCTAACCTTTATTTGTGATAACCTAATAGTGAATCTGAATCCCTTTTTTCCTTCATAACATGATTAAACACAAGCCATGAAAATGTCACACTTGTATATTTTAAATATTAGGCCTTTGATATCATTCAGTTTAGGATGGACAAATCTTCTTTTGATCATTCATCTTCCTCACAATGATTTGCAGAATGCCCAACTACAACCCTTATTGTCTATCTAGTTAGGAATGACGTTAAATTGAATTAGAACATACAACTTGTCATGTAGGAATGCAATAATACCTCAAGTCGAAGGATTTCATATAATGCTATCACTATGAGAATCGCTTATGACAATACTTATAATTCCATGTAGCATTCTCTTGGTGGGTCTGTCATGTACATGAGTTCTTTAACTTTGTACATGTACGTTGACTTGATATCTCATATCTGTGACAATCCCTTGTAATCTGTCATACCACACGCTAGTTTTAGTTGTATCATTAATGTCCTATCCCACAATGATTCTTTCACGAGAGATGTTTAAGAATAATTGAAACATATTTCACTACTCTAAGGACTTTATTCTGATTAACAAGAACAAGCAGACATTCAAAGTTAAACATAATAATGGAAAAACGTTTTAAATAACATGATAAATTAAGATTTAAACTATGAGAATGTTCTCGATGTATAAAAGATTTAAACTATAAATTAAGATACACTTCTACAAGTAAAACATACTAATATTTTGATGATCCGTCTTAAGACGTCGAAAGGTTCTAGTCTCATAATCTCGAAAATACTGGGTAGTGGCGTCAGCTGAATGAGCGTGGTACATAGTGCTTTTGAAACTGAATTCATTCACCTTGCAAACTTGTAGCACAAATTATAATTAATTTAATGGATGTAGCTCATTGGCACGGAAATTGTTATCGACCACAAGGAATCTATAATGCGA